TGTTTTATTTTTTTACTCATTGATATACACAATAATGAGAAAACACAATCCTATTGAAATCAAAGCAAAATTAAAAGGCTTAAATAGAAGAATTAAATTCAAGGATCACATTAAAAACAAAAATAATGTTAAAGGGACTAATTAATAATTTACCTTTCATTTTTACTTTACTGTGTTGAGATACATTGTATTTAAAAGAACAGGACACAACTGAAGTTAAACAAAAAAGATTCCAGCAAAGAGAATTTTAAAAAAAAAATGAAATTACTAATTGTGGGGTTCATCATTAAATTCAAGGATCACATTAAAAACAAAAATAATGTTAAAGGGACTAATTAATAATTTACCTTTCATTTTTACTTTACTGTGTTGAGATACATTGTATTTAAAAGAACAGGACACAATTGAAGTTAAACAAAAAAGATTCCAGCAAAGAGAATTTAAAAAAAAAATGAAATTACTAATTGTGGGGTTCATCAATGTAAGAGAGATAGAGGAGGTGAAGGGAACCAAGAAACCTTAGGCTTAGTTTAAATATAAAAAAAAATTAATAATAATAAATAAATGACAATTGACAAACCTACCTTGATACATATGTCACTGATCACCTTTTGGAAGAAATGGAATAGAAAGTGATCAAGTAAAAGGAGTTTTAGTCACTTTTTGGTGGGTTTTTAAAGAGTATAAGCAAAGTGTGAGGTAATCAAGCATGCATGGTGGATTCGGTTTGGTTTTGAATATGTGGGGGGTAAAAGTCTAAATACAAATAACAAAATAATTAGGTGACTCTGCTAATTTTATCATATCGATATATATATATGTACGGGGAGGAAATAATTCTCCTCGTATAATCCTTGTTTGTATGTATAGCTAGTTAGGAAATTCTTATAATATGTTTTGCATGTTTCTACTATTCTTTTAGCATCTGTTGGATTAGAATGCAAAAAAAAATAAAAAATGGAAAGTAAAAGCAATAGAAAATGAACTGAAAGAAGAAAAAAAAAATTATTTATTTATTTGCTAAGATGCATGTGGATAGGATGAATTTTTTAAAAGAAAGTTAAATAGCAATTAATAATTTTGACTAGAACAAATTTTCTTTTTTCTTTTTTCTTTTTTAATTATAAAAAATTAAAAGTCAAGTTACCATGTTTATATAAGTTGTATAAGAAATTTAATTTTCTTACATTTTCTACCATTCTTATTGAAAATCCTAAGTGATTCGTGATTAGATCAAGATTAAAAATATTCCAAATCCCAAAAATCCAAAACACACAATCTAAATCAACAAGCACTTACGAAAGTGATTTAGATTGTTTGTTTTTCAGAATAATTAATAAATCGACACAAACGATTTTTACGTAGAAAAAAACCACAATTGGACACCTCCAACTGTGATTAAAAAACCACGGGCAAAACGCCACTAATCAATCCACTACTGAAGTAAAAAGATTACAAAGATATCATACAAATTACCCAACTCAGTCAACCTGTCTTCGAATCTTCTGTAACTCTTTTTTCACGACTTCGTCTCGGAACTGATCAATCCTGAAGTTGATTCCACAACCTCACTCACATATAGAATCAAACGTCTTTTGAAACTATACGCTAGAATCTTCGGAATCCACCAAAGAGAACTCTCTCTTGAATTTTAAAGAAACCAACTCCTTGATGTATGTATTTTAGATCATGAGTGAAGAACTCTTCTCAAGACATCAAGGAAAACTCACCAAAACTCCAGAAGCACACACCAAACAAAACCCTAGGACTCTTGAATAAGATCTAGGAAAAGTAACCTAAAACAAACCCACAAAGCGAATATATAGAATCTGGGATCGCGCGGTCCGCTCGAGCGTGGGTCGTCCCGCTCGAGCGGAGACTTCAACATTTGTGATTTCATACAGGCTCCACGCTTGAGCGGCAGTTTCCACGCTCGAGCGTCGAATCACACCATCCAGTATTTTTCAGCCAACTGCAGAGATGCTGAGAGCTTCTAATTCCCGCTCGAGCGTACCTTTCCCCGCTCGAGCGGAGAGTCCAAAAAATTTGAAAAATTGGAAAATTGAAACCTGTAACAACCTTGGTTTTGATCCATGGATTTTGACAACAAAAGGATCCTAACACTTATGCTTAACAAATACCAAAAAAAAAATTACATTTTTCAATACTTTCAGTCTATTCAAACTCAACCGTAATTAGAACCCTTCTGTCCTCCACATAACATCTATTATTGTTACTCTTTTCTATTATTTTAATGCAAAGGTTTAAAGAATTAGAATTTTTGCTTCAAAAATGTTTGAGGGCACTAAAGTAGACCTCAATGAGAGCTCTACTTATGTTGTAGTGGGTACTTATGAATTAGAGTTTTTGCTTCAAAAATGTTTGAGGGCACTAAAGTAGACGTCTTTTTTTTGTTTTTTTTTGGCTCCATGCTATATTATTAGTGTCATTGTTAGAGTTACAAATTTAGAACTATGAATCATTACTCTTTTTGCTTTTGAAAAGAGAAGAAATCTCTTAAGATTCGTTTGGAATGTGAGTTGACTTTTTAACTATTTTAACTTGGGGTTAAAAAGTCTCATTTGGGATGAAATTTTTGATTTTTTTTGGACTTTTGTGAGAGACAAAATGTAATAATTATAATTTGAATGTGATATTCTATCTTATTAATATTTATTATTTTTTTAAAACTAAAAAAACACCAAATTTTTTCTTCCCAAACAAGGGCTAAATGAACCCTCCAAAGGGATCCTACCTGGAACTTTTAGTGGGAAAACGTTGAACATGAATTAACAATAATTGCAAATGAAGAAAAGGAGAGAGGTGTGTCATTTATTTTGGGGTGAACGGACCTTCAAAGAAGGCACTAAAAAAAACGGCTTTCTAGAAAAAAGCCAAGATGAAAAACAAAGAAAAAGTGATCTTCACATTCACAACTTAAGTGGTGTACAATTTATTCTATTTAATTATTACTTAATATTATTTTATCCCTCTTAATTTTAAATTTATACATCTAAACTTTTTAATTATCAAAAGTATTTCACTTTTGCTCTTTGTATGATTTTATTTATAATTAAGGGTTCTAAATGCCGGGCATATCATAAAAAAGAAAAAAGAAAAAAGAAAAAGTGAAATATTCCTGTTGACTTTTTGACTTTCGAAGGTTATTTTTGTAATTATGAGCGTGCCAGCAAGGATCAATCAGTCCTTATAAAAAATTAATTGCCAACCAATTATCAAACGATTATGTTTTAGTTCTTTCAGCCTCAATGAAGAGAACTTTTACTGGTGGCTTGATTCAGGAGAATTAAGCAAATAACAATTAAATGAAGAACAATTGAAGCATTTCATTAAAATAAAAAAACTTACAATAATCCAAACTTAGTCTCGTAGAGGTTTACAGTAACAATCTACTTGAAACTACTCCTATGAATGAAGTGCAGTGTAGGAATTTCAAAGTACAGAAATGTAAAGAACAGGAAACGTAAAACTGGAAATGTAAAACAGGAAAGGAAATGGAAAGGAAATAAAGTAGAATAAGACTGGTTTTTTGGATATAAGTCTGGAGCTTTTTCTGGGGCCTTCTCTTCTATTTATACTTCTCAAGGATGACCATTAAATTGCATTTCCAACCGTTGAACTGCTCCTCCATAATCGCTGATCATGTTGTCTTATAATTAGCTCCACTATGCCATCACTTGCAGTTAGGCTTCCCTCCTAATTTTGAATTTGAATGTGAGTAACCGTTTGAAATCACATCACTTTGCATCTTCTTTGCTGATCCAATGCTACTCAGATCTCGTAATAATCAATACTAACTGCCACGTGTACGATTTTGATTGAAGACTTGAATAGTCTTCCTGTATTACCTCTACTCTGTCACGCGTCGAATTATAATTGACTTATACAAAATATGTAGCCAACAATTCCATTTCAACAAAAGACTCATACCCAAGTACCATAATTTTTAATCCATCATTCCGTTCATGATTTTCCTAACCCTATAATTTTAAAATTAAAAAGCGTAAGGTAATATTCAACAATAGTGAAAGAGGTAAACCAAAATTAACCCTCCCAACTTTGATGTAATTGATAGTTATTACTAATAATATAGGAACGGGAAACAAATGCACTCATCCAAACCACACAATGTAGAACAAAGGGAAACTTTCGAAATTCAATGAATTCCCCAAATGAGTAAACACTTTTTAAGCTGAAATTCAAGTAAAAATTTTCAAATTCAATACATTAATGCCTTGCAAATTAAAAATGAATTTATTTTTTTAAATCATTATAGAAGGTGAGTGTATTTTGTCTTTATTGATCTTTTTTTCAAAAAACAAAATTCAGATCATATAGTTTAGAGAACTAAAAAGAAAATTATTTTTTTATTAAAAATTAAATAAAATTTACCATACACAAAAATAAGCTTATTTGGCTAAAACTTATAAGCCAACTTATTCTTGTTTTTTCTAAAATTTTCAATTTTAATTCAAAAGTATTTACTAGTTAAGTCCATCTTAACTTGATGATTCTAAAAATTATCAAAAAAAAAAAAAGGGTCAATTTTGAAAAAACAAATTCATTGAAAACAAAATTAAACTATAAGTTTCATCAACCAAAAAGAAAAAAAAGAAAAAACAGATTTATTTTATTATTTTTTAGACTTTTTCAAAAAAATCAAAAATTTTTAAAACATTTTGGGATCGTGAAACAAATCTAAAAAGTAAAGAAATTTAACATAATTTTTTTATTAAAAAAAATCACTAAACAAAATAAGTCGGACTGAAAACGTAAAAAAAAAAAAAAAACCCACTCTAAAAAATTGAAGGGAAAATTAGTCTAAGGTCCCTCTCCCACTTTTAATAATGGAAGAGATCCACAATATTATTTTATGATGTCTAAAATCCTTCAACTCCAAAATCATATATCACAGAGAAATTTAAGAAGAAACAAAAGGGCAACATAATATTGATTAATATTGCATTTAAACCTTCTTCTCATGGAATACCCTTGCATTTAAACCTTGGTCCACCACGAACGGCAAGTGGTTTCCCAAACTGGAGTCCCTCTATCACGGAACTCCATCCACAGTGAGTCAAGAAACCTCTTACTGATTCATGACTCAATATCTTCAGTGGAGGCGCCCAACTCTTCGACACTACCCCTCGACTTCTGGTTTGCTCCTCGAACCCATCGAGCAGCTCCACAGATTCGGACTTATTCGAACCAGGCGGCTTCCTTAATGCCCAGAAAAAGGGCGCACTAGAGAGCTCCAACCCAAAAGCCAACTCGGTGACTTCTCCTTGACTCGGCATGGCTTTGCTCCCGAATACTACGTAAACCACAGAGCCATTGTTTTGGTTGTTGAGTCGCTCACTGATTGAAACGGCTATCTTTAACCACCGCTGGTGGCATTAAACCGAGTGGAATTACAGGTTTGGATTGAAGATCTTGGAGGAGAGTCGAGCGCGGCGGCGTTGCAAAAATGGCTATCAGAGTCGGGTCTTCCGCCATGGAAAATGACAATAAAGAGAGTGGAAGTAGGAGAGAGAGGGCTTGTTGTCCTGAAGAATATTAGAAATGGAGAGAAAATTTGTGAAGAAACTCAGATGATGGCAAGAGAAAATCACAGGGGTGAGTATGTGATTTGGTCAGAGAAATTTGGAAATTTTTCTGATTTGGAGAAAATTCTCTGTGAAGTCACCAGAAAAATTTTCTGTGAACCAGAATTTTCTGTGAAGTCTAGAGAAAATTTGACTAGAGTGAATTTCTCTGAATTGAATTTTTTCTGGTTTGGACCAGAGAATTCCTCTGGATTAAATTGAATTTTTTCTTCTGATTTGGAGAAAATTCTCTGTGAAGTCACCAGAGAAATTTTTTGTGAACCAGAATTTTTTGTGAAATCTAGAGAAAATTTGACTAGAGTGAATTTCTCTGAATTGAATTTTTTCTGGTTTGGACCAGAGAATTCCTCTGGATTAAATTGAATTTTTTCTGGCTTTGGACCAAAGAATTTCACTAGATTGAATTTTCTCTGGTTTGGACCAGAGAATTTCTCTGGATTAAATTAAATTTTCTCTGGGTTTAAACCAAAGAATTTCACTGGATTGAATTTAATAATTTAGTAAAACACATATATAATGATGAGTTCACATAGATAAATTGATACGGCCGAATTTGTATCTACATAGGTGGTTTAATTATGTTTTTCTAATTGAAGTGTTGACTTACAGATATTTTTGAACAGTGAGAGTAAGCACGAATTTTCTTTATCCCAATGAAGTTTGTTGACGGATCACCATTCAGAATCGGCAATGAGTCAAGGTGCTTGGATGAGAATTTCGAATACTGTGTGAAGATCATTCGGTGACTTGAATGCGAAGGTCACATTAAACTCAAATTCAAGTTCAAATTGTTGACGTGGTTTAGCTTGAGATCGACAGAACAGGAACGAAAGGTTATCCTTCATTCAAATTATGATTGAATCAACAGCGGCAGAACCAAAGACAAATTGATCAAATCAGAGTTTTATAATTCCAAAGAAATTCTAGACGAGAGAAATTCATAGCATTAAATTTAAAGAAAATCTATCACAAATTCATAGAAAAACTATTAATTTGTTTGTGCAGGAAATTGTGATTGAATCAGCATCAGCAGAACCAAAGACAAATTGATCAAATCAGAGTATTATAGTTTTAGAGAAATTCTGAATTTCCAAAAAATTTCTCTGGGTTGAACCCAGAGAAAATTCAGAATTTCTCTGGTCCAGAATTTATCTGGAACCCTATAAAAAAAACCCTCAAAATTGAATAATCCAACTTACAAGATCCACCCAAAAGAAATAGCTAGTTTGCTCGTGGGACATTGTTAAAAGCATTTAACATCATCCAGTAGGCGTATTGAAACCGAGCCATGTTTTCTTTTCCTCTATTATGTACATAAAAAATAATTTTAAAAAAAATGTCAAACATGCCAAGCAAAAAAAATTGCAAAAATAACTTCAAATTTGGCAGTCCATGTTTCCGAAATTCACATCTTTCTCATTATGTACAGACAAGGATGTTGAATGCACGATTCTGGATTCTCGAGGGTGTCTATGTTTTAAGTCAAATCAAAAAGATTCAGACGAGTTGACTCCGCAGATTAGAATTTGGAACTCTTGTACTGTACAGCTTTTGTGCCATGCAGCTTCTAGGATGAAAGAACATGTAAAAGTGGGAACTAAAAAAGATAACGGTTCCAATAATCGCTAGCTTACTATCATTGAATAGATAAAATCCAGCTTCGGATACAGCAAAAAGACACCTCTTCCCCAAATCAAACAAAATAGTACCAAAACGATACAAGTACCCTTCAAAAAACTCAACAATAACAACAGCCGGTAAAACCATTACAAATACGACACTACAAAGTTCCTCAAGGGCAGGCATTAAAACCCGCAAGTTAGAGTCGAAATTGACCAAGCCTAAAAAATGCAGAACAATGAAAAATGACGGCAATGCAATGAAAATTCTCCTTGTGCCTAGAAATGAATGAGGAGAACAATATTGCATATGCCAAAAATTTTGGGGGAAAAATGAATAACTACTACTATTTAACTTCTACGCCCACAATACTGGCAAACTATTGATAATCTCACAGTACAACCGCAACCTTCTCTTGGGAAATGAGTGTTGAAGGATAAGCAACAAGGGGCTCATAATGATCTCCTCCAGCACCACACCAACCTGTAAGTAAGAAGGTTTAAGCACACAATTTGAGGATGGATGAGAGAGTGAGGACTGAAGCAGTTAAACTACACGAGCATGCGCCCGTTTAAAAAAAAAAAGGAAAAAAAAAAAGCCTGTGAGGTTGACAAAGAAGTTCTATTACCTGTTCCTTTCATGAAGAGAAAGAAGGGAGGTTGACAAATTTCACTCCTTGGATGATGTGGAGGAAAAAAACACAATTTTCTTCATCAACCATTGCATCTGACCCATGTGCTTGCACCTGTAATTGATTTATGCAGAAAGAAACAGAACATTTATCAAGAAAAGAACCTCCGGAATTGCAGTATTGAGGAGTAAAAACTGGATATGAAAAGAAAAAACTCGTAGTGTATTGCCAACCATGTAATTTCAGTACCTATAACTTTATAAACTTCAACCTAGCTCATCTCACATTAGTATAATGGCCCCACATAAAGCACAAGGCTTAGGATGCTTCAAAAGGACACAATATGTCCGTTGTTGAAAGGGGGAAGAGGAAGCAATCACAAAGCAAGCCTCCTGTTATGTCTCAACAATTACTCGGTTGCTCTATCTCATTATTATAAAAAGTTACTATAACCACGACCAAGGACAATTGCTTTATGTGGGCCATGACAATTTTCATCCAACACTAATTGAAGTTTCCCACTCTTCAAGATCTTAATTAATTGTTAATTCAGGTAATATGCAGGTAAGCAAGCACAAAGTCAACAACTTTCTTCATTTCATTTCACAAATTTCTCAGAGTACCATCAGTGCAAATTCCAAATTAATAACACAATAGTAAAAAGTTTGAGAACCTAAATCTCACCACTAAATTTGCCCGAACGATATCGAGATGTTTACAACTTACATGTCAATTGTTGATTCGTGTAGGAATCAAATTCTATAAACACAACCTCTACCACGTTGTGGTGGGTAAATTTATGAGTGATGTTTTAGGGGTCGTAGCAAGACTCAACTTTGACAATCATGCAAGTGGACTTAATGGATGGAACCAAAGACCGAAACTCTATAGTGACAAAATCAGCATGCAAGTTAAGAAGATATTCAATCATTTTCCATACAAGAGTAAGAGTCAAGAAACTTGAAACTATCAGAGATCAATCAGATTGTATTAAAAAAGGAAGAGAGCAACAGGTACAATAAAAGGACCGAATTGTCTTCTTACCACATATATCTCTCTTTTGAACTCAGTTGCAAGACACTCTATTGCTAAATCATCTCCAAATGCAGCAGCATGACCTTCTCTATTCTCATCTACAGTTAATAAACCTTCCACAGTATATTGCAAAGTGATGATATCATGTCTATCATCAGGAGAACCAGAGATTGACATGTACTTGGCCCAACTCGGGCCGTCATCCACAGCAATACATCTCTCTTTGTAAATAGACTCCGCGGCAAACTCTCTTCAATCAGAAAAGAAAAATCAAAATACAAACCAACAAACATATAATACTACAAACCACAACAATCTACAAATTTGATTCTAATAAATAGAACTCATACCTATCAAACAACATCTAGTAACAAATTTATCACTAGTTTTTTCAAATAAAAACATAAATACAGCATTCACATATTTGTGAATTTATTTATGTATGCACTGTTCCATTTGAAAAAACAAAAGTAATCAAAAGTTTTATTAAGAAGAAAAACCCACTGGTGAAATATGTACAAAGAATGGCTATATAACCAACCAGATAAAATTAAGGATATGGCTTCTGTCCAGTCCGGGATCGGATTGGACCGTGCTGTTGGGCCCATGGGGCCCATCAACGGGTCCCGTTTTGATAATTCGAACCGTTTAATGTGTAGAACTCGCCGAGTACTATATGCTTTATAAAAAATCACATTGATCGGATATCGATAGCTATATGATCAAATTAGTTTCGTTATTAAAAAAATTGGTCGGTGAACAAATTAACGGTTGACAAAAAAATGTTTTGATCACATACCTATCGATATCCGATCAACATGATTTTTTACAGGCATATAGTACTCAACGAGTTTTACACATTGAACGCGTTTCAGCTTATCAAAAAGGGACCCGTGGTGGACCTCCATGGGCCCAACAGCACGGACTGGCCAGAAGCCTACCCTAAAATTAATTGTAGTAATGTAAATAAATTCCAAGGGTAAAAATAAAACAAAATAAATAAAAAAGCACCGAACAACAAACTAGAACCGTTATTCTCTTAGTGACTTCCTTAAGTTAAGTCACATCGTGTTGATATGCCACACATAAACCACGAACTAGAAAAATAGCTCTAGTCATTCCTGCTCAACTGCCTCGTGTCCCAATCAGGTAGGTTGATTTACATCATATAATAAATAAATCATTCTGCCCTGTCTACTGACTATATGCAAGCTCCCGACCCTGTTTGGTTGCCTGAGCAAAAACGAAGGGAAAGAAAGAATGAAGAAAACCGGTTTTCAAGAATAACAAAGATATACAGCATTAGTGGTATTGGCACTCCACTCATTCAAATGGGAATTTTTTTGGCATTCTGATCCAAACAACGAAGAATGAAACAGCTCAATATGTAAAAACATGTTCTTCT